TACTCAACATAGTACTGGAAATACTCCAAAGCAATTAGACAAGAGAGAGAAATAAAAGGAGGAAAATCAGAAAAGAGGAAGTTAAATTATCACTATTTGCAAATGGCATGATACTCTACATAGAAGACCCCAAAACTCCATTGAAAGATTCCTAGATATATTAAATAAATTCATCAATGTAGCTGGATGCAAAATCAATACTCAGAAATCAATAGTATTCCTATACACCAACAACAAAATTCCTGAGAGAGAAATAAAAGATGCCAATCCCTTCATGCTAGCATCCAAAAAAATGAAGTACTTAGGAATTAATCTCATGAAAGAGGTAAAGATCTTTACAGGGAAAATTATAATACTCTGAAAAAAGAAATCAAGGAGGATCTCAGAAAATGAAAAGAAGTTCCTTGTTCATGGATAGGGAGAATAAATATTGTGAAAATGTTCATTCTTCCAAAATGGTTATACAGGTTCAATGCAATCCCATGAAAATACCACTAACATACCTCATAGATCTAGAGAAGTCACTCCTAAAATTAATCTGGAACCAGAAGAGACCTAGAACAGCAAAGGTAATTCTGAGCAGCAAAGGCAAGGCAGGAGGCATCAAAATCCCTGACTTGAAGATATACTACAGAGCTGTTGTAATAAAATCAATATGGTACTGGAACAAAAACAGATCTGATGATCAATGGAAGACTAGAAGATACAACCACAACTACAAACACACTCAACCACCTTATTTTTGATAAAGAGGCCAAATATGTTCACTGGAAGAACAATAGTTTCTTTAATAAATGGTGTTGGAAAAACTGGCTCTTAATATGCCAAACACTAAAACTAGGTCCATGCCTATCACCATGTATTAAACTAAAATCTAAATTGATCAAAGATCTGAATATTAAATCAGAAACACTAAATCTGTTGAAAGATAAATTACATAAAAATCTTGAAGACATAGTGGTAGGTAGAGAATATATTAACAGGAATCAAACCACACGGGATATACTTCCCAAAATTAATAACCAGGATCATGTGTTATTAAAAATTTTCTGCATGTCAACAGAAATCCGCAGCACAGTGAAAAGAAAACCCACAAAGTGGGAAAAAATCTTAGCCCTGTCTCAGGACTAAAATCTTAGAACTGTCCCTCAGACAAAGAACTTCTGTCTAAAACATATAAAGAATTTCAGACTCCTGAAATTCAAATGTCCAATCCAAAGATGGGCATCTGAGATGAATACACAACTCTCAGTTGAAGAAATACAAATGGCAAATAAATACATGAAAAAATATTCATCATTAGTCGCTAGAGAAATGCAAGTTAAAACCACACTGAGATTTCATCTCACTCCAGAAAGAATGGCCAGGATCATGAAAACTACCAACAACATATGCTGCAGAGGCTGTGGGGAAAAAGGAACTCTCCTGCACTGTTGGTGAGAGTGTAGACTGGTACAACCACTGTGGAGGTCACTCTGGAGATTCCTCAAAAAGCTAGGATTGGAAGTCCCATTTGACCCAGCTATTCCACTTCTAGGCTTCTTCCTAGAAGAACTGAAAATATCATATCACAGTGATACATGTGCAATCACATTTATAGTGGCACAATTTGTAATAGCCAGATCTTGGAAAAAATCTAAGTGTCCATCAGCTGAGGAATGGATAAAAAGTTGTGGTATTTTATACAACAGAGTACTACTCAGCTATAAAGAGTGTTCATATTGAGATATTTATAAATAAATGGACACAACTTGAGACCTTACTCATAAGTGAAATAAATCAGACTCATATGTATAAATTCCATATAGTTTCCTTGTAAGAAATAGTAAGAGTACATAAGATTTTATGGTAATCATGATTCCCCATTTACATTGCTTATAAGTCTTATAATGTTTTCATTCATTAGTTGGAATGGTTTTATTCTGTTTTGTTTGATTTTATTATGTGTGATTGTATGAAGAGCTATTTTGAAGAAAACAAGACATTATGGCAGCCATTGCTGATTTAATATCACCTTGCTTTGAAGTCCTACCATGCTTTTGTTCTTCTGTTTCCACTGGTGCTATCATGTTGTACCTTATTAGATTTTAATCTGTATGAGAGTGTAAACAAATTTTTTATTGAAAAGGAGAAAAGATAGTAGCTATTGTTCATTTTCTGCTATTTGGTTCTGAATGCCCTGTAATACTTTCATTCTCTTGGATGGTTTTATGCTATTTTGTTATGTTTGATACTATTGTATGTTAAGGTATGCTCAACTATTTCAAAGAAAGAGACATTATGGTAGCTACTGTTAATATTGGGTTGTCTTGTAGTGAAGTACTCTATTACTTATGGTGTTCTGTTCTAATCTTCTTTGTTCTGTCCTCTTTTGTCTTAATCTCTTTAAAATAAAAAAAGAATCAAATGGAAATCATAGAACTAAAATAAAATAGGCAGGACTGGTTGCAAACAAAACAAAACAGTATTTTAAAAAATAAAAACAAAACCAGTATTTTCAAGGGGAAAAAAGCTGAAAAAGTATTCTTTTAAAATCATAAAGGCAAAAATATCCACTATCAAAACTGTTATTCAGTGTAGTATTCAAAACCTCAGTCAGAACAATCAGATAAGAGAACAAAATTTAAAAAGGTATGGTATAGGAAAGAAGTCAAACTATGTTTATTTTCAAGCTATATTTATTTGCAGATAACATGACCTTTACTCAGAAGACCCAAAAAATTCAATCAAGACTCCTACAACTAATAATCAAATTAAGCAATGGAGTAGGATATGAAATCAACATATGAAAATTATTGGCAATCTTGTGCATCCATAATGAACAATGTCATTCACAATAGCCTGAAAAAATTAATTTTAACAATTAACCTCTGTAAGAAAACTATAGTACTCTGAAAAGGCAGATTAATGAGGCACCAGAAAATAGAAAAACATCCTATTGCTGGGTAGGCAGAAGCAATATTGCCATTATACAAAAACTGATCCTTGGATCTAATGCATTCAAAATTAAAATATTTATGACTTTCTTCACAGAACTAGAAGTTACCCTAAAATTCATTGAAATCAAAAGTGATATAGAATAACTAAAGCAATTCTTAACAAGGGCAAAGCAGAAAGCATCACAATCCCAAATTTCAAGTCATATTACAAAGTATGGTGTTGGAGAAAAGAGTACGTTATTGGCACAAAAACAGACTTGCAAATTACTGGAATAGAATAGAGGGTTTGTATTTATTTTCTATACTATTTAATTGTATTTCATGTATTTGTAAAATTTGTGTTGTTTATCATAATTTTTATTAATGCATGTTTATGATACATAATGTTTATATTCCTTGTATTGAGTTGGTACATGTGTATAATGCATCTTTCCTTTTTTATGCCCTTTCTCTCTCACTCCCCTCCATCTCTTGATCAGTTTCCCATTTGAGAAAGATCTATCTCATTACTTTCTACTATCTTTTATTTTTCTCTTGAAACCGTATGGTTTTTAAGTTTGTATATCTGATGTATTTTCATTTAAATTTATCAAGGTATATCTATTTTTTTTACAAATGACTGAAATTTATTTTTCATTATAGCAGGCTAGTGCTCCATTTTGTGTAAATACCATTTTCTTTCTCTAATCATCTATTTATGAATATATAAGTCACTCCCAACATTCAGCTATTGTGAATTCTGTTGCTATACACATGAATATTCTTGTATCACTGAATATTGTGACATCAACTCTTTCAGAAAGAGATCTAGAAGGAGAATACTTAGATCAAATTCAATTTCTATTTTTAGTTTTTTGAGAAATTGCCATACTGATTTGCATAATGGTTGTATCATGTACTTTTTTGGAATATTATATTTCACAATAAGAGTTGTTGGGAAGTACCTTTTTTCTGAGAAGGTGTCTCACTATCATTTAGTGCTGGACTCACTATGTAGCCCAGTCTGGCCTTCAACTTATAGCTGACCCTTCTGCCTCAGCCTGCCAAGTTCTGGTAATACAGGTGTGCACCACCACATCCAGCTCGGCATTACTTCTGAATGAGTATTTTAACTTTTTAGTTTTTGGATGATATAACACAATATATCTATTCACTGACAACAATATAAACACAGAAAAAAGGGTACTCCATAGTAAATGGTGGGAGAGGAGGTGAATGGGAAAAAAAGAAGCAAGATATATATTAGTTACAGGTACAAATTCTCTATGATGAATGTTATCATATATATATGATATATATATATATGATATATGATATAAAATGTGCCAATAAAAATGACTTGAAAAAATAAATAGTAATGAAGTCTTTATAATCATTAACAGCCAATTTATTAATGCTTTGTTGAGTGAGTTTTCTTTAAACTCTTACTTTTATAAATGTGCCAAAGCTTTCAGGTGAGAATTAAATGTTAACAGTGATTCTTATATATCATCAGTAGTGCTTTACTTCAGAGAAAACTACTGAGTACATACGCAAGGGTAGATCCATTATGCTTAACAGGAGGTGATGGAGTGATACCACCTATGCTCAAAAATATACCAGCAAGATACTCTGATGGCTGCTGTATATTAATCTATAGATTGCTTGGAGAAAAAATGATCCATGAGAAAAGCAAGTACTGGGATTCCCAGTGCTATCTTCATACATTATGCTATTTAAAAATATAAAATATAAAATGGGCATAGTAGATAAGAAAAATTGTTTTTCAACTCCCTATGTCAATGCCTGTAAATTAAATATTAATATTTCTTGAATCTATTAATGTATGCATCTCTAATGCATCCCTTTTACCAATTAATACATTCCTATTTATAAAAAGAAAATATAGAAAATGTTCTCTTCTTAATCATAAATCTTTAAAAATTTTCTTGACTTCTTGAAAGGGTTATAAAGGGCATTAAGGTCATAATCATGAAGCTGACTTAGCTGGAAAGCCAAAAGCAATCAGTCTTCCTTTATATTATGCACCATTTGGAATCTCTCATCTTGCTGTTTATGAAGTTGTATTACAGATTCACCGACATGCTGTGGAAGGCAATAGAGGGCCAAGCCAAGGGAAGGCACTAGCAGAAGTTCATGGAATTAGCAGCAGAGCTGAGCTCTAAGAAGCCTGAATTCAAATAAAAGTCCAAAGCTCAGCTCTTAACTAATTGGTAAGACTCATCCCCAAACTTGGAATTTCTTTCTTTCTTTTTTTTTTGTGGGGGGCGAGGGGAGAGGGCCGGAGATCAAACTCACAACCTCACAGTTGCCAGGCAGGTGCTTATGCTGCTGAGCTATATTCTGGGCCCTTTGAGGTAATTTCTTAGGGATACCTTGCTCTTTTCTTCTTGTGACCCCAAGTTAGTCTTTTCACACTTGTCTAATGAAGTTTAGATTATATCTCTTTAAGTCTAATCACAGTCCCTTTTGCTTGCTATCCTGTCTGTAAGATAGAGAAGAATGAGATTCCTGGAGCCTGAAGGCTGATTTGTCATTTGCATGACCTGAAGAACATAAGACTTAGCAGCAGATGACTGATAAGATTCACTTTTGTTCAATATATTCAAAAAAGGAGTTAATTTTTAATACTGCATATCAGCAGTCTTTAGTACACAGGTAATCAATCGCCTTGTAGTTTCCTCCAATAAGCAGAGATATTGCTGATGGAGTAAATGACAGAAAGTCAGCCTGATCTAATAGGAAATGTGTTTCCACCTTTTCCTGGGATAGGTGATCTGGCTGAATTTTACTGAGAGGTACTAATAAGACCCTCAATAACTGTTAGTTCTATTAGGAAATGGCTGAGTGAAAATGAATCATGGTATAGTAGGAGAAAGCATTGGACTGGAAGTCAGAGAAATTGAAACCTTAGTTGTAGTATTTCTTTCTTTTTATTTTTGCAAACAAATGATGTGAGTATAATTCAATTATTGAGTGTGTTGATTTCCACTTATTTATTTTGTAATAAGCAAACAAGTGGATCTAATGGTTTTAGAGTTCTTTTAGTTAATTCTGTTTCTCCAATGCTATGAATAGTATCACTCATTATCATAACAATTCAAGGTGGATAATTTTGTAATCTAATGATTAGAATAAGGTATATTTTTTGATATTCAAAGATCAGTCACCTGGCATTTTTGAGCTCCATAGATACAATTTACAGAACCCTTAATATGTTTTAGATACTATGTAGGCACTTTACAAGACTGTTTCATTTAATCATTTATGATAACTATTATTTTATTGATTATGGAATTTAAACTTTGAGAAATTTGAATTACTTGAATAAAGCTCCCTGAGTATTCCTGGTTGATAAAGATATGGCTTCAGATCATTTCTGCATTGCTACAGGGGCTTGTAAATACTGTATCTGAATGGTATGTGCTAACACAGGACCATCAGGGGAATCATTCTGTCAAGACAGGAAAGTCTAAAGTGTCTGCAGTATTTTTTAGGAATCATTTTATTTCATAAGTAATACAGAGTCATGTCTTCTTTGCAAAATTAAAGATACAGAAAATAAAATGTGAAATTTCCCCCATATCAGCCCTTCTACTCCCATTCTCCTCTCTAATATAATAGCACACTGTAAGATGATGCTAATGACTGAAGGAAGTACAGGGGGCTCTCAGAGGTGACAGTAATATTCTGATTCTTGATCTGGGTGTTAGTTATGCAGATGTGTACATTTTGTGAAAATCTTTCAGGTTACACATTTCTATATGCATATATTTAAATTAAGAAAATGTGACAGATGCCATGATGGGTAAGTAACTTGCGCTTTTTGTTGTTTTAGAGCTTCCCTTTAGAGGCTATGGGAAAGATATGTAACAACTGGTTGGTAAAATTATTCCTTGGGGATGAATGAAGAACACTGTAATTTCCAGAACCTACTATGGGTCTAAATGTATAAATAGTGGCATATGTCCATTCTGGTTTGACTATTATCTCCTTTTGGAAGTCCTGTAATTTTTACAATGTTTAGGTTTTATTGGTCTTATTCTCTACTGTTTAGTTCAACTTTATAATACCTAATGAGATAGACAATTCTTTTTAAGGAAGCAAGAGGCATTATGTTAACCATTGTCGATAACCTTATACTCTGTTTTTACATCATGTGCTATGTCTATCCTTGGTTTTGACTGACAGCTTTGTTTTGCCATATTTGACTTTATTCTCTTCCCAAAAAAAGTAATAAGAACTAAGGAGTTATAAAACCCAAAAGGTGTAAATTTTGTTGTAAAAAAGAGAGGGAAAGAAAGTGCTCTAAAGGATACAACTGCAAGTGTGTTTAAGGGTGTTAAATAGATGACCATATTAATGTTTTTGGCTGGATCATTGAACACAACTGTTTACAGTCTCACTGTTTGAATGTCCACTTTGTATGCTTTGATACTGTGACTTGAGCAACTATCTCTAAGATGATAATGTATAATCTATTAACTGGTGATTTCTTACTGTTTTTTTTTTTTTTGTAGTCTGTATTACTTGTACCCTTACACCACTTTGTTTTGTTTTGTTTTTTCTCTTTTTTCCTTTTAAATAAAAAATTAAAAAAAAATAGTGGCATATGTATTTGGAAAGCACTATACAGTGTGTTTCTTCAAGTAAGACAGCCCAAAGTTCTAGAGAAATACCTACATTGTCCTGGAGTTTTAAGCCCAATTGAAAAAAAAAAAAACAAAAAACCTCAAATTTTCACAATGAATGTTGTCAGAGAGATTGCTCTTCCCCACTGGTCTCATTTCATAAGGACAGGTTTTGCACTGAGGTGTTATCCCTTTCCATGAAGCCCCGAGTGGCGAGTTCTGGGGTATGTGACCCAGTGCCTTTCACCCTGCTGACTGCAGCAGCCAGCAGGCCTGCAGAGAGCACTTGTACATGGTCGCTTTAGCCATGGAGATACTTATTATTTATGCTCACTGAAATCTCTTTTCAGTATGGACATATGGAAGGCTAAATTTACTGTTGGGGCTATTTTATTAGTTCCAGCCATTGGGTTGGAATTGGAAATGATGTGATTCATTTGTTAAGCACTGCATGCAATTTCCAGGAAAAGAGAGACTTCCAGAACACCGTCCTGCCTTCATGCAATGGCATCCAGCAAAGTGTAGGGAGGTGTTTCAGTCTGGAAGGCAGAGAGAGGGGCCTGTGAAACAGTTGAACTGGGATAGATATGTTATATAAGCAAGAAATATGCCATTGTGGCTTCGTGTTCCCGAGACTCAGGGATTCTTCAGAGCTGCAGTGTAACTCAGGCTCCCCTGACCACGGCCATGAGTAGAATTTGCTATCTGAAGGCAACTGTTCAGAGCCCCCTTGTTCCTAGGCGGGTAGGTCCAATTCTAAGGCTTAGTACTCAGAAATTCCATTTGTTTATCAGTTATGTTGTCCAATACAACTTAAAATGGGATAATGGTGATCTCTCCTTTGCTTAAATAGTTGACTAAGGTCTTATGTATAGGAGAGGAAGAAAGTTTCCTAGTTATCCCCCTTACAGCTCCGTCAGGCTATTGAGGGATTCAGGTTACCAAGAAAGGAGCTAGCGAGGCAGATAGGGATAGGATAATGCGTGGTATTGTAAGGAATGTTAAATGTTTTGTTTGTTATCTAAATTTCACTAGGAAATCATGGAAGGGTTTTGCAGTAGACCCAACTATGCTTCCCAGCACAGTCTGTCCCCTTAAGTTTTAAGCAAATTTGTGACCAGGTAAAGTTCACATTATTTTCAAAGGTTGATCTGATTGTGTATGGAGAACACAGTAGAGGGATGAAAGCCAGTATGTGCAGGCCAGCCAGGAGTGTTTTGCAGGGAGTCTTGGCAGGGTAAGAGTTATTCAAACTAAATAAAATTCTAAAGAAATTAGGTGATGATTAAAATTGTGACATATGCATGTCTTTTCATTTCCTCATCTATATTGATGCATTTAAAATATTTTGAAAGATGGAAATATGTCATAAATAGGCAATATTCCATGCAAAGTCTCTCTTTCTCTCCCTTTTCTTTCTTGCTCCCCCTTTCTCTTGCATATATACTTTTGGTAAGAATTAAATAGAATGAATTTAGGATTATATGTCCTAGTAACAATTTTAGGTCTGTTTGTGCTTCAATAGTCATTTGATCTCTGTTAGGAATGCAAACATTAATGAAGACCACACTGTCCTTGTTATTCCGAGAGTGTTCACAGCTTTCTCCATGTCACCTCTGGCTGAAAGACTCCTTTGCAATATGGTGCCTCTGTGCAGAGCACTGCTGAGTTGCGAGGTCCCTTAACCATGGTCTTCCCTATGCGACAAGGAGCTCCTGCCATGCAGTCTCCTGTCAGTGGGAACTCATGGCTGCAGAAATAGGAAAAAATAGTTCTTAGAAAAAGAGACCCTTAACTACAGGGGAAGCCAGTTTTCATAAAATAATCCAAACTGCTTAAGCTGGAAACAGGTCTACAAAATGCCAATTAAAAGGGACTACACGACTTGTGGAGCTGAAGCAGTCTGGATGCTCCTCCCATCTCTACCTCCTGCATGCACGTTAGCAGGAGCAAGGGAAACTTTTCCACACAGCACTCACTTCTGACTTGAAGACCACATGCTCCCGATGGATATGCTTCTGAAGAGATTCTGTGCACAAGGCCAAGATATTCCTAGGAGGACAGTTTGGGTTTATTCAAGTACTAATATGGGCAATGGATGTGCTCAAACCCTACATCAATAGAACATAGAGTGATTTCAGCCTGGAAAGATTTAAAAGGGTAATTAATAAATCTTAATTAATAAATTGTGACAACTGCCATGTAAATTCCTGAAGACTTCAAATATTAACTAAATATAAAATTTAAATTGGCAATATTTTGCTATTATATAAGAATTCAATAATAAACCCAAGGACTATTGAAGAGTCTATCCATAAATTACAAATTGTTTGGGTAGCTTTTTAAATAGCAATAATAGTAAACTACATGTTGAATCTGCTCCTATTATAAAAGATAAATAAAGTGGGAGGGCTAATGTATATTAGTTTCTTCTCTAAGGCAAGCGTATGTCTCTTTCAGAAGTGTTCCTGAATTACTAGATTTCTTATGAAAAAGATGCATGCAGTGTGAATTCATGCTTGCTTTGTTCTCAAAATTACCTTACTGGCCAATAGATGGCGATCGAAGCTTGACGCTAACGG